GGATTTGGGGGTCAGCATGTGGAAAAACCCACCGTAAATCAATAGCATCTGAAACAGCCAGGAGCGCTCTCGAAGCCTGAAGATGAGACTTTATTCAAAAATAATAGCCAGTCTGTTTACTGCGCCACGAGATGGATTACATGGCACTGAAATAAATACTTCCAGATGCGGCTCAACAGAAATTACACTGAAGAAGAGGGGGGAGAAAAAAACGACTCCATAAATCTAGAGAGAGAAACGGCAAAGCGTTTTCTGGCACCGAACGCTCATGCTTCTAATGGCATAGTATTTTCATATCGATGCTTCAGCAAACAAGAAAAGATAGGCTGCCGTTGCCAACACTTTGGCGTGAAATAAAAACAAATCCAGCTCTTTGTGCTCAAAATCCAGGAAGTTGCTGTTCTTTCTCCGATAAACTTATTTCAAAGACAAATATTACGCTTTGCTTCAAATGGCGCCAGTACTCGGCCTGTATTTCTGCACTGGGAGGTTTGAATATCATTTCGATAAAATATTGCCTCTTTGGAAGACTACCGTATGTCGTTTTCCCGTTCCAACTGACCCACTTCTGTACACCGCTGCCAGTCCGACCGTTCACTTGACATCCAAGAAGCAATTTCATGGAGTAATAACAAGCTATTCAAACCACGGGGAAGAATGTCTCTACTTGTAAATGTGTAATTGTTAGGGAAGGTTTCGCAGGAACTGGCGTCCGATGCCAACGCGAGGGATGCGACTGGAATTCGGGGATGTAAAACCTGCTCCAATGGGCCGTTTATAGTGCAGTGTTTATGAGGCATTGAAAAGGGCACAGAAACAGCAAGTTCTGTGGATGTCAGCGGCCCGGGACGAGACGTCCGTCCTCAGATACGGAGATGATGGAGCAATAAACGAGAGAGAGGAGACGCATCACTCTATCGTTTGTTGTCTTTGGCCCAAAGTCTTGCGTAAAGTGAGAGCAGGGAAAACTGCAAGTAAGGTACAAAATATTGCTGTCGCAGCAACTTCTAAACATGCGTAAGGGCCAATGAAAGACACACTTTCGTGATTGTCTAAGGTGTGTTTAGGCAAGATTTACTATTTATATTGCTAACAACCTAAAACAACACAGCAACAAGTTAAACCACTAAGTAACCATCCAGAACCCCCTAGCAACTGCATAGCAACACCCTAACAATGCACTGGAATTAAATTACCTTAGCAACACCCTAACAACCACCCAGAACACACTAGTAACCACTCAGAACCTCCCAACAAACCGCATAGCAACACCCTAGCAACCACAAAGCAATGTGCTAAATAAAAACATTTAAAACACCACAGCTTTGTGCGTAACAACCCCCTAACAACCACTGAGAACACCCTAGAAACTGCATAGTTACGTACTGAAAGCCACCCAGAGCTCTGTAACAACTGCCAAGATTCCACAGTAACTGCATAGCAACACCATAGCAACACATTGAAAAAGAAAACTTAAAACAACTTAGCAATGGCATATCACACCCAAACAACCAGTTAGAACACCATAGCAGTCACATACCAATTTACTAGAAACCACCAAGAACACCCACAAGAGAAACCACCTAACGACGACCCAGAAACCCTTAGTAACTGCATAGCAACGCCCTAACAACCACATAGTGTAACTCCTCTGGTTATACTTGCCATTCTCTGAGTGGGATTCGAACTGGTGTTTCCAGCATTGGAGACAATGAAGCTAAAGATCATAGCCTCTAGCGTCAGTCACTAGTGCGCCTCTTGAGATCAGGGGCACAACTCTTACTAGCTGGCCTCCGTTACAATAGCAGCATGCTAAAAACTACTATAGCAATAGTAGTGGCACTCATCATGGCAGTGAGTTTCATGTAGTTTCTCACAATTTCTAAAGAAAAAATCAGTTATAATTATTATAATTCAGTTAGTTATGCTTATGTTTTTATAATTCACCACACTGTATAATAAGTCTTTCACTTCAAACTCTCAATATTTGTAGATAGACGGGTGAATTTCAGATATCTGTGCACTAAAAATAAACCTGGATGTTACATTTACACCGCATGTACTTAAGCCACTAGAAAGCACTAGAAAGTTCTTCTCGCATTAGCAGGTCAAATTAAGCGTCAGAGAAGGATGTTTTCGCCAGGCATTTACAAAAACTGGCAGAAACAAACACAAAAGGAAAAACAATTCCATCTGATGAGCCGCTTTTCCACAACAGCAGACTCTGGAATCAAATAAAAGTATACTTCTTCTTGGCCGGTGACTTGCTGTCCTTGTGGATGGGGGAGGTAATTGCGTTGCCCTGTGCGTGAGTGTAATCGAATGATCTCTGAATGATTGTAGGTCTTGCGTTACCCTCTTAATTTAATTTCAAAGTTAATAATCTCACAATGACTTGATTTTGGTAATTTGAGGCCGATAAAGCCTCCAACAACAGTCACTGGGGCAGACGTTTAAATTACATAATGCTATACATCCACAATGGTGAAACTTGAGTGAAAGCGAACCGTTTCCAGATTGGCGATTTCTCTTCGTTTCAATCTGGGGGAGTGTTGAGAATCTCAGATGCATTTGAAGGTAATACGTCGACTTAACTGCTGCAACGTCGAAAGTCTGGAAGGCGACCACGCCAATAGATAACTGTCCACGTTAATGAGAAAGCGCCTTGTGTCTGTCAGCAACCCCACGTACACTCGACCTTCCAAACAAGGGCTTAATTCTACCTTTTGAGCTTTTTAAAAGACCAGAGTGAAAAGTGCTTATTGGTGCAATTAATCGTGGGCTTAAACTGGCTCCAGTCGCAATAAAACCCAGTTAATTACATGATAACTTGGTTCTGACGGCACTCACTCAGTCACATGCATCCCCTCCCCCCCCGTATAATTATTCCTGTGCCATTCCCAGTAAGGAGCCGAGATTTACTCAAAGGCGAATGCGAGTGGCACTCGAGAACATCTGGAAGTCTTCACTCAGCATCATACCCTGGAAAACCATATAAGACCTGTTTTATATATTAAACAATACACCGCGTCCCCGCGCAACTCCCAGTTTCCTACATGCTGGGCTCATGTTTAAGCCATGGAAATCCAGTCACATTTGTCCTGCGTTGCTTGGCGACATTGAAATTGTAGGGCTTTTAGAGATGTAATAAGAACATGCTTCCATCATGCTTTGGTTTTCCTTTGCAGTTCTTACTGAATATTTGGCACAAACATGTAAGAGATGGGACTGAAATATCTCAGGATGCTGTGCATTACCATGGAGGTTCTTTAGCAAAACACAAGATGAATCTGGTGTAAAATGAATTAAAACTGTGATTTAGTGCTTTGCCAGATTACATCACAATGAAAAGTAACAAATATCTGTACTTAAAACAAAAACAGCTATGAAAAATAGATATTGGCAATTGCTTATTACAGCAATGGCTTAAAGGGTTAGTTCACCCAAAAATTCAAATTCTGTCATTAATTACTCACCCTCGTGTTGTTCGAAACCCGCAAGACCTTCGTTCATCTTCGGAACACAATTTAAGATATTTTTGATGAAATATGAGGGCTCTCTGACCCTCCCATAGACAGCAAGGTAACTACCACGTTCAAGGTCCAGAAAAGTACCAAGATTATCGAAAAAGTAGTCCGTGTGACATCAGTGGTTCAACTGTAAAGTTACCAAGCTACGAGAATACATTTTTGCGCAAAGAAAACAAAAATAACGACTTTATTCCACATTTTCGTCTCTACTGCGTCACTTGTGGACGTGCGTTCATGACAGTACCATGACGCGAGCGTGTGGCGGCACTGACCCGAGGGTAACACGAGGGTGAGTAATTATTGACAGAATTTTTATTTTTGGGTGAACTAACCCTTTAACAACCAGTTCGCACACCCTAGCATAGCAACATAATAAAAACATCAATATCACCTTAGCAACCACCTAGTGACCACCCAGAACCCCTTAGCAACTGCATAGCAACATCTTAGAAACTACACAGAACCTCTTAGGAAAAAAAAGAGGGAAAAAAAACCTCAAACCTCCTTAGGGTAACAATGCCATAACAACCAGTCAGAACTCTGAAGCAACTGCATAAAAAACATACAGAACAGATTAGCAACTGCATAGCAACACCCTAGCAATCACATAGTAACCCCGTAGAAACAAAAAAAAAAACCAGGGTAACTCAGGGAAACAACCCCGTAACAATTGGACAGAACTCCAAAGAAACTGCATTAAAAAATATGCAGAACACCCTAGCAACCACATAGTAATGTGCCAAAAACGACTCAAAACACTTTAGCAACAGCATAGCAACACCGATGTATCATGGCAGTGAGTTTCACGCAAATTTCTCAGTTTCTTAAGAAAATGCTAACGCTTACCATGTTTTATATTTCACCAGACTATATAAGAAGTCTTCCCGTGAGTCTAGAAGTAATCTAGTGCTTTGTAAGTTGATAATTGAAGTACATCACAATGAAAAGCAACAAATATCAGTATTTAAAACAAAAGCAGCCACAGAAAACCAACACTGGCAGGTTTTCTGGCAGCCATTGGCTCGGGAAGCATCAAGTGGGCCGTCATTGGTAAATTGCTCATTACCTGTGAATTGCAGATTGACCACAGCAGCAAAAGCCTCCAAATTGGCTGTGAGAAAGCCTCCAAGAGCCATTTCTCAAACGCAGCCTAGCACTTAAGACACCCACACTTCTGCGCCTGATGGAAAATTATAACTCGCTGCACAGTCGCATACGTAAGCGGCATTTCTTCAGCCGTAAACAGAACTTACGGAAAACAAAACAAAATTAAATCTCCTTTGTATTTCCAAATAGGATCGAAATTCCGCTTATTTAATTCTCCAGTAGAATTATGTGACTTTTATGAGGAAAATTACACTAACCGCAAATTGCGCTAAACAATTCCAATACTTTAGGGCTTGACCACTTTAAAATGGGGCTGCGCCGCGATTATAAATATAACTCTTTTACGGCTCTGTTATTACGCACTGAGAAGGGGGAGAGCGGGCCAATCTTGTGGCTGTAGCGCCTGATGGCCTCTCTGATGTGGGCTGGTTGGATGGCACTGCTCTGAGCCTCCGCGCCACAGGCCGCCGCGCTCTGCAACGGAGAAGACAGAGAAAATACAGCTCGTATTATTGCTAATTCAAAAACACAGTGGGAGTCCTGCAGTTTAGTGCACAAACACAAATGCCGCACACTTTTGGGAATCCAAATCGGCCGGCGCTTCACCTTTGGAGAGATATAAATGCTACGTGTCATTTGATGCTTTATGAACTCGCAGCGCAGGCTGATTCTGATATATAGAGGCCTGACAGCAAACGTTAGTGCTGCATGTGATTGGCTGTAATTGCAGTGTCTCTGAAGTCATTGGAGGGAAGGGAACGATTTCGACTCGGTATCTCTTAGCAGACGAGGGAAAAACAACTTCCCTATTTGGATGTTTGCAATAAACATCAGAGAAACTGGAGTCAGTAAAACAGGACGGGTAGGAAAATACTGAGACTTGTTTCTTGCTAATGTTTCCACTGCATATTAAGGGGCTGGAATCTATGATAAGTATTAAAATAACCTCTGGGTATTACTTCTAGCGTTAGGTTGGTTGTTTGGTTTTGAGTGGCCCATCGGTGTAAGCTGTTTGTCTGGCAGATGGGAGATTTTGAAAAAGAAATAAAAGATTAGACTGCCTTAAAACGTTATATAACTTTAGTGAAGAAATTGGCACCACTAGTCATTCAACTTGGGACTTGTATGATAAAATGTATGGTTTTTGATGGATGTTTTGTAAATGATGTAAAATGTTTTTAATGTATATTTTAGCTGAGAATGATAAATAATATAGAATAATAATGACAATGATTATATTATTATTATTATATTTGAAAATAATTCATAATTATTTATTAAAATGTATTATTATTAGGGCACTGTTTGAGAATTTAATCATTATATATACATACATACAAACATACTATAATAAACATAGTATAATAAGAAGATGAAGAAGAATTTAAATGAACAATATGATTAATCACTTATATTTATGCATTTAGCAAACGCTTTTATCCAAAGCAACTTCAAAGGAGGAACAAAAGCAATTAATCAGAGCCAATAATATCTGTAATATACAATGCCATAACATTTATAAAATAAATTATTTATTTTATAAATAATAATAATAGATTACTGTTATTATTGTTGTTGTTGTTGTTATTACTAATATTATTATTATATTATGATGATTAAATTCTTAAGCAGTGTATTATTAATAAAACATTTAAAGAAAAATATTTTAAATTATTTATATATTCATATATTCATAATAATATCACCATCGTCATTATTTTTCTTTATTATATATAATTCTCAGCTCAAATATACATTAAAAATATATTATTTTATATAATTTACAAAACCTTTAAGGAAATCAAACATTTTACTGTATGTTAAATGTGAACAAATGACTAGGGATGCCAAAATGACACACTTCATCTTGTGTTATATAACAGAAATATTTCTGGTTCAACACTACTTAAAGCATTTTATTTTATAAAGAAACAGGTAGCCCCGCCCCCAACTCCCCCATTGGTTGAGCCTGCTGTTATGACCGGCCCAGTTGGGTTTCTCAAATAAACAGACTGCAGTTCCTTTAAACAGACACTAGTGGTGCAGTGATCACACACTCATCTATAACTGGAGGCTAGCTATATAATCTCAACATAATATAGATGATCTGTCAATATTTGTGTACCTTCTTCCTCTTCCTCTGTTTGATCTTATTGCTGCCATCTTGGTTCGGCCCACCGTTGCCCTGGGCCATGGAGGGCATCTGTCCCTGGTGTCCCGTCAGAGGGCCGCTGGGAGTGGACGGCGGCGTGTTTTCCGGAGAGTCCGTCTCCTTTTTGGTGCTTGTAGCCTAAAGATCACATATGTGAGCACAAATTCCTCATTATTTTTCCAAGAGTGACGTTAGACGACTGCTACACATACACAATCACAATGTGCCTGACCTTCTCATACACAAGACTTGTTTTTAGGAAACTCATGACGCAAAAAGGTCACGGCTACAAAACACGACCCTGAAAACATCACCTGCAGTCTTACGACACGTCTCGGTCCTATCGCTCAAACCACAGGGTCATTCTGTCACTCTCGCCACATGGGAATGCGGCCGACCCCCAAGGATCAGGAGAAAAACAATACTGGAATTCAGGCTAAAAAATACCATGTGCGCTTCCAGACCCAGAGTGGCCTTGACCGAGTCCGAAAAGAGGGAGAGAGAGAGAGAGACAGATGAGGTTTCGTGGTTTCAGTGACACAGAAGTCCATCCATGGAATGGATCCCGCAGCTCAAAACCACCTTGGACAAACTTGGCGAAAGAGGTCAAAACCGCGGAGCAGGACGCTCTTGTTTGGTTTTCTTCTCCAATGGACAAGCGCTCGGAGAAAGCTGCTGACATGACTGTTATCACCAGAAAAACCATTTGAACTATTCTATAGCATCACCAAACAGCAACTAACATCATAAAACATCATAATAGTGGATTAGAGCATAAGAATGGATAATGTAGATGCTTCTCAGTAAAGAATATCATTCACATGCAGCTTAAACCAAACAAACAACACATTAGTGACCAAATAACTGACTTTCTTTCTAGAAAGTCTAGAAGACAATGATTGACTGAATGATTGAAAGGAATAGTTTATCAAAAAAAATGAAAATCCTGTCATCATTTACTCACCCAAAATCATTTTCTGTTGAAAACAAAAAAAAAAATGTTCATGCTGGTCTTTACTTTTATTGCACTTTTATGTTGCAATTTTAGGAGCTTGCTTGCATTTGTCACAATTCACTTCCATTGTATTCTGCTAAACATCTCCTTGTCCTGAAGGTGAATTAATAAAGGTGAATAAATGACAGGATTTTTATTTTTGAGGGAACTTTCACTTTGACCATATTTTAGAATTAAAATAAATATTACATTATTATAGTATTATAATTATGTGTAATTACACAACGATTATGTATACTGTATATATACACACATACACACACACACACACACACACAAACATAAAATTTTGGGGGGATCCATACCTTTAAAAACTATTTATAATTTCCAAATAAACATCCAAAGTGTTATTTTAGTGTTATTTATATACTATTATATTAATTTTATATTTTAAAATTTTATTTAAATTTTTTGTTTAATTTTTAGTAATTTTGTTATGTACTTTTGTCATTTTTATTTTTTTTATTTTCTATTTTTATTAAAATTTTAGTTTTAGTTTATTTTAGGAAATCAACTTAAACTTATTTTATTTCACTTAGTTGGCAATGAAACATTTCTAATTTTCATTGAAACTTATCTAATGCTATTTAAACTTTATTTCAATTAATAAAAATGATTTATAATAGTTTTTAATAGTTGTTTAGTTAACAATAACAACACTGATTACCAAAAAGTAAACTGAAAAGTGTTTTGTTTACCTCAGCCGAGGAGTTGCAGTACTGGATGAAAGTTGCTGATATGGCGTGTTGAAACGGATCGCCTGTTTTGGGAGTCATATCTTGTTTAACCAACAGGGCAAGGTCAACAACCTAAAATATAAAACCATATCAGCTTATGAGTAATGGCACTTGATATGAAGAGCAAGATGATAATATTTTTCCCAGGAAACATCATACTGAACGAAGAAAGCACTGGAACGCTTCAAAAGAGCTTATTTTCAGGGTTTTATTGCACTGGAAACAAGAGACCGAGCGGAAGTAAAGTGGCAATTTAGCAAATGTCAGAGTGATTTCCTGAAATGAAACAGTTTGTCGTTTTTGTGAATCTGAAACACAATGTGATTTCGTGCTCAGTCTGACAGCAGCTCACCCTGGCCACCGTCTCGTAGGCCAGATAAGACAGGATCTCCATGGACATGGCGCTGGGCTTCACATCCAGACTGCTGCAGTCCAGCCACTCGCGGAATTTCGAGGCCTTCTTAGCTAAATAGAGCACACAGTTTGAGTGAGAATATGATGTGCTGATGCACACTATAAAAATGATCGTAACGTTAATGGTAAAAGACTCTAAAGATGCTACAGTAAAAACATGTTAATTGGTTCTCTTACTATATATGGTGAAAAACCCTAACAGGACATAAAATACTGTTACACTTGCATTATATTACCATCAGTTAATAAAATGTAGTTTTTACTGTAAATTTAAAGGGGTCATATGATGCGATTTCAATTTTTCCTTTCTCTTTGGAGTGTTACAAGCTCTTGGTGCATAAAGAAGATCTGTAAAGTTGCAAAGACTAAAGTCTCAAATCCAAAGAGATATTCTTTATAAAAGTTAAGAGTCAACCACGCCTACCTAAAACGGCTCGTTCTAACACACCCCACATGTCTACGTCACGATGTGAGAAGATTTGCATAACGCCGCCCAAACGTTCACGCAAAGAAAGAAGGCGTAACTTAAAAATATTTGGCTGCACAACTGTTGATAATTCTAATAATAAATCAGCATATTAGAATGATTTCTGAAGATCA